AGGCTGCAAGTGGATCTATAAGAAGAAAATTGGAGTAGATGGAAAGGTATCGACCTACAAGGCTAGATTGGTAGCGAAGGGTTATACTCAAAAGCAAGGAGTTGACTATGAGGAAACCTTCTCTCCAGTTGCTATGCTTAAGTCCATTAGGATATTGTTGGCCATCTCTGCGTGGTATGACTACGAGATATGGAAAATGGATGTGAAGACCGCTTTCCTTAATGGGGACATTGAGGAAGAAATTTACATGGCGCAGCCGGAAGGCTTCATATCTTCTGGAGATGAGCAAAAGGTTTGCAAACTCCAGCGATCCATTTATGGATTGAAACAAGCATCCCGTAGTTGGAACAAAAGGTTCGACACAACTATCAAAGAGTTTGAATTTGTGAAAAACCCGGAGGAACCTTGTGTCTACAAGAAGGTTAGTGGGAGTGCAGTGACTTTCCTTGTACTTTATGTTGATGACATACTACTCATTGGGAATGATGTAGGGATGTTGCAGTCGACTAAAGTATGGTTATCCACACGTTTCTCGATGAAGGATTTGGGAGAAGCATCCTACGTATTAGGAATACGGATCTTTAGAGATAGATCGAGGAGATTGCTTGGCTTGTCCCAATCCATGTACATAGACACCGTTCTTAAACGGTTTAGCATGGAAGAATCCAAGAAGGGATTCTTGCCAATGTCCCATGGGGTTCGTCTCTCGAAATCCATGCGTCCTCAAACGCAAATGGAAATCGAGGAGATGAAAAGGACACCTTATGCATCCGCTATAGGAAGCATAATGTATGGCATGCTGTGTACACGACCTGATATTGCGTATGCTGTGAGCGTCACAAGCAGATATCAGTCCGACCCCGGCCCAGCCCATTGGAAGGCTGTGAAGGACATTCTCAAGTACTTGCGAAGAACTCGAGATTTGTTTTTGGTCTATGGGGATACCGAGTTGAAAATAGAAGGCTTCACGGATTCTAGTTTTCAATCGGACGTGGATGACTCGAAGTCAAACTCGGGGTATATATTCAAAGTCAACGGGGGTGCCGTGTGTTGGAAGAGTTCCAAGCAAGGCACAACGGCTGATTCCACCACCGAGGCTGAATATATTGCAGCATCAGATGCTTCAAAGGAAGGGTCGTGGATTAGGAAATTCATCCAAGAGTTGGGTGTATTTCCGAACGCTAGCGATCCAGTACGGCTGTACTGCGATAACAACGGAGCCGTAGCGCAAGCTAAGGAACCAAGAGCTCATCAGAAGTCGAAGCACGTGTTGAGAAAATACCATGTGATCCGAGAGATCATAGAGAAAGGTGAAGTCAAGCTAGACAGAGTCACCTCGGAGGACAATATTGCAGATCCCTTCACCAAGCCATTGTCAGGATCAGTCCACGAGAAACATCGAGAGTCAATGGGACTTAGATTTATGAGTAGTTGGCTTTAGGTCAAGTGGGAGATTGTTAGAGTAAGTGACCAACAAGCCAACTTGTGGCTGTGGTCTTTCTCTTTTCCTTGTAACAAAACAATCGTTTTTCGTTCGTAATAATAAAATATCTTATTTGGCATTCTATATCTGTTATCCCATGCAAGCAGCATAGATATAGTCCTAACGAGTTACTCTATTACTGTGAGTTGATCTAGTAGAATCGTGAGATAACTCAGCAATGTAATGTAACTGTTAAACCTTGTTCCTAGTCGATGGATTACGCCAATAATGAGGATACCGGCCTTTCCCTTTTGAGACTAGCACTTAGTGTATGTGTATTGCGTCTCATCAGTCCTTGGTGTTGTGACATCGGCATACTTGAGTGGGTGCTCATACTGGATGAGTTCACTGAACTCCCTCACCCTAGAAATCTATAAGTGGTTCTCATTCATCGAGTAACAGGTTTCTAAGATATAGTTGTACACCATTAGTCCTTAAGACCCAGACATCACCGTGACTTCACTAGAGGACCGATTGTATCGTGACCTGTCCCTGAGTCCCACCGCGGACCGCTCCAAGGGCCAACGTTCGTGCAATCCGAAATCTAGTGTGAAGTCTGTGCATTGTAGTAGGGGATTCGAGCGCTTGAGTAGTCATGGATGTCCTGTGTGTTCTGATGGTTTATAATCCATGGAATCTCTGGCCAGAGTTGATAGTGGGGTGATTAGGGAAATGTGTTTCCCTAAGTCACACACGAACGGATTTATAATACCTAGAACGTTCGCACGGTTATTGAACTTTATAAGAGGTCTCGGTGAACCAATGCCTCTAGTTCAATCGGGACATGTGCTACGAAAGGATCGTACTGTACGCTAACTATATCATAAGGTTCTTGCAGGTACTTCATTTGTATCTAGGGAATCATGATGCGTAGTTGCTAAACGCCAATCTTGATTCGTTGGGCACCGATTTGATCGGGGATTAGGTAAAATGAGTTTTACTCTAATCAGGACTCTTGGGAGGAGTTCGTATAAGAACAATGTGTTGTTCGAATCACAAAGAGTTGTGAGCCCACGGCTAGCATACACCTGAACCATTGAGGGTCACACTTCTCGTGTAATATAGATCCTTGATAACAACAATCATAGATTAATGTGTTAATCTTTGAACGATTGGATGTCAATATGATTGAATCCAAGATTCGTAATTGTGAATTGCGAATCAGAGTAAACGAGGAGAAAGAGAGAAATGCGGAATTTAGTGAAGTTTCTAAATTGGGAAGTTTCCCGATTTAGCAAGTCCACTGAAGTGGAAGTTTCCAATTTTGGAAATTGGAAATTTCGAAGAGGCACTCGTATCGACGAGGACTTTGAGCTCGTCACAAATATAATTTTGTTATAATTTTGTGAACGATCGTTTGTTAGAAACGAGGCCGACGAGGGAATGGGCTTAATGCATCAGTGGGTCAAGCCCAATGACTTAAGCCCACTAGGGTGGAAAACCCTAAGTATAAATAGACCTCAAAAAGAGTTTTGAGATCAGAGATTTTCAGCTCCAAACCCTAGCCGCTCAAGCCCTAGCCGCTCCCCTCTTCGGCCGTTGCTGCCCCGGCGCGCCACCGCCGACCACCGCCGGAAACACCGCCGGTTTTCTTCTCTTCTTCCTTCGTTTTATTCGTGTTGTTATCTAACTCGTTTACATCTAGTGTTGTAGTTCGAGTGGGTCGAAAATACGAGGTGAAACCTAATTGGAGAGGAGCTGCTGCCCCGACGAATCCACGAACCGCCGCACGCGCCGCACCGCCGCTCACGCGCCGTCGCTGCCGCTGCCACGCGCCGCCGCTGCTGCTGCCGCTCGTTGCTTGCTGGATCAGCTTGTTCCAGCCGTGAATTGCAACCCCGTGGATTGGTAATTAGCAGCTTGTACGTGACTCGTTCTAGGATTTGGATTCGTCGAGATCGCACGCTACAAGAGGTAATTAAATCGGAACTTTCGTAATTCGATTCGAACATGTTTGTATGATTATTAATTTGCGAGCATGAGTAATGCGTGATTACATGTTTCGATTTTGTGAAATGAAGAATAAGCATGTTTCGTAATTTTCGGTTTTACGCGTTTTTCAATTAAATCGATAATTACCATATGTATGGCGGAAGCGTTAAGGTACGTTGACTATGTGATTAGTTTATGCATGTAATCGAAACTAGTTCGATATAAAAATTTTAAATTCCGCTGCGTATACATGCACGATCCCCAACAGCGCCGACGCGCGCACGCGGGGAGAGGGGGGTGTTGCTGACGCGCGCCCGCTGCCAAATAAAGGCGCGCGTGTGCGCGCGTCAATGGGGGAGGGGAAATGTGATGACACGCGCGCGCTGCCCAATGAAGCAAAAAAATTGATAATTGCTAACAGATTGTAGTAAGAAGAGAGAAGAGAATTGATGAAGATAAATGAATGAAATAAGTGGGTATTTATAGTGGAAAATTAAGGGAAAAAAATAATCTTTTTTTTTTTTTTTGTTTTTTTCAAAATCTGACTCTTTAGGATTGCCACGTGGAATTTCAATATTTTTTTTTTAATCTGACCGTTTGAAGCTGCCAAATGTGTGTAATTTTTTTTGTAAATCCGACCATTTAAATAATATTATTATTATTATTATTTTCAAAAAAAGGTTGGTTAGAACCGTCGGTTCTCGGTCCCGAAAATGAGTAACCACAACCGAACCGGTTTTTTCGATTCCGGTTCTAATCGAGAACCGGTGGTCATGTCTACCTCCACGTAACTAAATATTTGCATAAGTTTTTTTAACTTGAACTTCCATATAATGTTAAGAAACAACTCGAATATCCTTTCGTTTCACATAACTTCTTCAAATACAGAAACCGTATAGATAAATTCCGAAACCTTAAAAATTTCTATAACTTTTGGAATTGAAATAGATTTCTGAATTTCAAAAATTTTGGATTTGGAATTGAGATAATTGAAAGTCCTTTCACTACTGAATTTTTATTTTTATTTTCTTGTAATTGAAGAAATTGTTTTAGCCGAGGGAAATTGTTACCCAAAGTCGCATAATTACTGCCTTGTAAGAAAGAAACTTTGCATAAATCAATACGCAATCAATTATCGATTCATGTCAAGAAATTAAGGGAACAAATTTGCTATTGAAACATGTTTCTTTGAAAACGCTTAACTCTACTTCCCTGCTTCATGACAAATAAAAATGGCAAATGATAATAATATACGCGACAACCACTAAATTAACCGTCTCACGAAACCACATGTATTGCTTGCCGTATTCCCGTGTACTCGTCAATAACAGTTCAACGACTTCGCAATTAAAAACGGCATTCTATAAACAACTATTTACATAAATATACACAAATCGCAGAGACACTACTACTACTACTAAGCCAATAAAATGTCACCATTCTTCAATTTCATCGTCATCTTTATCATCATCATCAGCATCATTTGCAGTATAATCGGGTAATTTATGCCCAAGCCAATTGAGTGCCGGTTTAAACTCGGTGGCTATAACTGTATGATTGTTCAGACTCGTATTCATACGAGCATCTCTCCTTTCACTTTGCATTTGACACTGCAACATCAAGTAAACGAAAAAAATCAAAGTGGATTAGAAATTAACAAATATTTTTATTTAAATGAATCGCAGTCGTTTCAGCATAATGCCAACATCTACGATTTAAATGACTGCTTATTTCCAAAAGGCGGAAATGAATATATTGTAAATATGCTGTAGACGAGTGAAGCAATTTCTTACAGTTAAAACGACAAGGCTAACTTAAAACTCTTACAGTTAAACGACAAGGCTAACTAACAGATCCCTATACTAAACCGTGTAATTTATCTAAAAATCCAAATATCCGTGCGAAAACAGATTGGAGAAAGTAAGTGTTATCGTTGAATACCAAGAATATATTGAAAAACGTGAAACTGCAATAAAAGCTATGCCCCTGGCAAAAATCAACCTTATTGCGCCACAGTGATTGCTCGACCTGCCAGAGCACTGGACGGCGAATAGCATGCCACCTGCATTGTCATAATATTTGTGATAATTAAGCATAAATTTAAAAAATTTAAAAAATAAATAAATAAATAAATTAGCGCAAGACACGTGAAAACGGACAAAGTTATTTCGTTTGAAACTTACCTAGAAGACAGTGGATAATTATTCCCAAATAAGACTCCACGCACAGCAATAGAAGCAGCAGTAGATTGTAAAACATTCTCAGCTTCATAGTTTCGACTCAAACTTGCCGATGAGGCAAGAAGTAAGTCACTGTCACTTAAATATGTACCAATGACCCATGCGTCGTCAATTGACTCCTCCCTCACAAAATCAAGAACTGTAATAAATCGCAAACATCAAACAAAAGAAAATTGCATAAATAGCTTAAGAAGCAACATATAAATTACCGTTTTCATGGAGAAAGTCAACAATAAGCGTTGCCTGCCCATGTGCCTGAGAAAGTACCAACTCCGGAGCATCCATTTTTAGCGGACACCTGATAAATTTCTCCTTAAGAAGAATTGCACCTTCGTCTGCATCAGAACACAAATATCAGTGCAACACTCTACAATTTTATTTTCTCTTAGAACAATTGACCATAAAATTGGCAATGTTTCCTCATATTGCACACACGGTGAATGAGAACTCTCATGGATTACTAATTAGCCCTTCAATATCTAACCATCACTGATAACTAACGACCCACACTCGCTAAAGTAAATATTCTATAAAGACAGCGTAATACAGCAATTGGTAAATACAAGACAATTTTCATTAACGTACCTGACGTAGCTAAACTTCCAGTCTCTCGTTTGTTGTGCAGAAATTTGCCTAATGCGTGAAATAATGATAGAGTTGCATCCTTCCCAAATGCGAGACTAACTCCATCATCCAAATGACTGCTCTCGGCCCCTTTCTCTTCTCGATAAGCCGAACGAACAGATAGAGAATCCATCGAGCGTGGTTTCAGAGAGAAATACTGTAAGGATGTAATTGCGTGTCTTATATCTCCTCCACTGGTGTTTGCTAGAAGATTAATCTGTTCATCACTCACTTCGATTCTCTCCACTCTGCGTATTTTCGAAAGTACTTTTTTGATGGAATTGGCCGTGATTGGATTAAACGAAACCTGAAACATCAATTTTTTTTCCGAAACATCAGCATAAATAAAATATCAGCTTTCGGATAAGACGAGGTAAGAAAGGCAACCTTGCAAGCCCCGGCTTTTTGTAGAGATGACTGGAGTTCTTCCCAGTACCGGCTATGGTGCTCGGCAGATTCGGATCTGCCGTATTCATTGATTAAAATGGCTGTCGGGAGACGAACAGATTGCAAAAGAAGATGGAAGCACCTCTGCAGCCTCCCGTACGATACCTTCCCTTTTACCAAAGGAATATCGTCGATCAAGAGTATAATTGACAATGGAGAGACTTTGGTCAAGGATGAGGAAATCAATCCATATTTCCTTATCTTTTCAACGAAACTTTCGAACTCGTCCAACTTTGACATATAGCTTATCCCTAAATCAGAATCCAGATAGTTACATAAGCAAAATGAAAAAGTATAGGAAAAGATAACTGAATTGTCAAAAACATTGTTACGGGACCAAAAATTCATACTTCAATCCAATGATGTATTCTGCCAGTCCATCACTAAATTATTAGTATACTTAACATTTGTTAGGTGATTCAAGTAACTCGTTATTCAGAGCTATAGAAACAAATCGGTTTAGTTAATGCTAAAGTTTTCACCACAGCCAGCTAAGTAAACTAAACAAAGTCACTAAGACACATTACTAGATTTAAATCTTGAGATCTCCTAAATATTTCCTTTCAAAACTAAATGACACGTGGAATAATTATAACTTGTAAACAGCAATCTTCTGATCAATGAATAATGCATTTGGTTCGTGGTTAACTGGACCAGGGACAAGAAAAGAAAAAAAAAACGCAAATAATGCATTCACTGCTAATCTGTAAGTACCTGAATTAGAATTGTGCAGATGCTCTTGCCATATGGTGGGGGTAGGTGTGTTCCATTCGTGCACTTCCACTCCAAGATGACGTGCAATCGCATGTATGGTTGCCTACAAGATGATGTCATCCGATAAATAGATGGCCGGATACGGCCAGACTCAATGCAGACAAATATAAAAAGTTCCAGAGGCACGGTAATGCTTACAGATTTTCCAACTCCAGCTTGCCCAGAGATGAGGATGACATTACTGTATGAATTATCCTGCACAAACTCCAACACATATTTCAGTTAAATTAATGAAGAAGACTGCATACATGTTAAAAAATAATAGTTATCAATCATAGAAATACTAACAGAAATACCAGCAACGAAGCCTTGAGTTAATCATGTCTAACAATTGTCACTTTGTACATGGTAAACAAATGAAATGTCAATAAGTTAATCACTAGGCAATCATTTGCCTACTGGAAAATTAGTTATTAATTCTCCAAATGGACAAGCATCTAATAGTCAGTCTTTCAAGCATTCTTTGTCAGCTAATACGAATACAGTATTGAATTCTTGATGTGGCATTCAGAAATAAAATTCAATCAGTTTTCAATGTGATATTTGATAATACTTAAAAGCCTATCCGAAATCTCTATCCTAGTTTCCCTGGAACTTAGCTAATTAACGCATTATGCATCAAAGTTCTTGCGCTGATACCGAACGACGTAGCAGAAAGGAATACGTCTTCTTGTGCTCCATAAAAATCTCTAGCCTAGCTTGTCTTATTTCTGTTAATAAATATCTGCGTTGATTAACTTATTAATGTTAGTTTCATACCCATTAGAGTTCTTGATTTTTGCCCTACTAAACCACCTCTCTCTCAACAGTTTTCAGTGCAAAATTACTTCACATTTACAGAGCCCAATTCTTGCCAACTAATCGAATCAAAATATACCAAGAATACTCATCAATTTAAACATCCTCTGACCCACCAAAAGTTTTCATTCTTGTTCGAGTTTCTGAGGCTTAGACTGCTCAAAATATTCTCAGTCGCAGAGGTATTTGCTATTTATTACTGTGCATTCCTTGCACGCATACTGTGCATTAAACAAGTCGAACGAGCATTCTATGCGCTGAGGTAGCTAATTACACAAAAGAATTTGTCTATTCTGCATTTATCGGATTAAATATATAAAACATGTGTAGCGGAACTATATTTACACCCACCCCATTCTATGCTTGTCAAATAACAATATCTAATAATCTATGTTAGAATAAAAATAAAAATAAGAAAGAAAGCAAGGGAAAGAATATACCACGGGGTTTTTTAGTCTCTCCTCAAACCAGATTTTTACTTCTTCAACCTGCAAATCAAGATGAGAAAATACACGTTAAATCAGTTGAATGATGAATAGTAATGAAAATAATCGTAGGTATTTAAATACCTTCTTCTTATGGACAGCTAGCTCCTCCAAGCAACTAGGTGTATACTTCTCAACCCATAGGTCCTTGTTACTTCTAGAACCTATACGACATCCATTCCGTTTGAGCCAAGATCAGAAATAAATAAATAAAAAGGCTGTACATGCACTGAAGGACTGTCTCCACGATGCATGGAATCGGAAATGATGTCTAAATCAATACTAAAATTTTATAGGGTATGTAACTTGATTGAGATTACAATGCTGTCATACAGCATGCATTGTTCCACACGATGTTCAATAATGAACTCCTAAACACTCAACAAGCAACACAACATGGATGACATAAAGACCAATTTTTAAAATGTAGGGTCATGTGACCAACAAATTTATTGCATAGATAAATGAAGGATCACAACCTGCAAAGTTCAATCCTCCATAAATGATAGAAATCATACAAAAAAAAATAAAGAATAAAAAAAAAAAATAAAGGAATCTAAATTGACGTGGAAAAGATACAATACCATGGAAAAATGTTTTAAAATAGCATACCAGGTGTTACCTTGAACTGAGTGAGTCCTTGATCAAATTCCTCACAAATCCGTTTCACCTACAGTCAGAAACACGAGGATAACGATAGGTTTTCAAAACAAAAACATGGGACAAAGTAATTCTTGGAATTTATCCTGTTTTAAAGGCATATATATAATAATTCACATTACTTGTACGGCCTACATAAGCAAGACACTATAATGAGATGAAGGGATTATTCAAATCCTTTACTTTCTCTCACTAGAATTATAATAGGGAGAGTAAATCGAAAGTCTCATAATTCATCTTCCAGTAAAAATTGGATTCACATCCAAATTTCAAACTCTCGCATCCTCTTAAAAAAGCATTTCATGATTGGGAAGTATTTTTACTAATTGGGATGATAATGACCTGTTTAAGAGTCATCGATTGTCAACAGTCAACTTCTTACTTTGACTTATTATCTACATTCGGAGCAACTAGGAGGATATAATCATCACAGTCATACGACTATGAGTTGGTGCGGTTGCTCTAAAGCACATCAACTATTAAGTCTTGAATATTGCATTAGAATGATCGGAGAAACTTCAACCACCATTCCTTAATTCAAGTCCAGCTAACTTATGTGCATTCACAAATGATTGTCTAATTCCTTGACGATTTAGAAATTCAAAATAATAAATATTCGAATATACATCCCCATAAACTGAAGTTCGGCCAAGCAACGAAAAACAACGAAAAAGGCAACACTACGAATCCGACAAACATGACCGGCGTCGAAAGTAGCATTAGACTTTTAATTAACACAAAACATTAACGAGGACTATTTTATACTGTTGAAGAAACTGATTCGATAAAATCCAATACGAGCAATTTCGATTGAATTAACAAATGATATGTAACCTAATAGCACAATTTAGTTCATACAGTTTCGAATAAAATACATATACATATACACATAAAAAGCAGCAACACATAATCGAAACGCAAACCTCATCAAAGCCACTAGAACTGGAGTACTGAAACGGCTGCCGCGAATTGGAACTCGGTAGCGAAACCCTCTTCGCCCTTTTAGGGTTTTTCCTAGTGGGGGCTGATTTTGAAGAACTAAAACCGCTCTTCAGTAACAGGTTATTATCTTTATCTTTTTCGTCGTCGGAGGATGAGATTACAATGGCGCAATTCCTTTTCGCCTTCCCCATCGGATTATAATTGAATTGATTGATGGTCGGAACCCTAAGAATTAAGAAATGTATGAACAAATTTTGGAGGTTGCGGCTAACGAGGGAGGCTCTTAAAAAAAAGCGCGGGGTTAATTGGGGATTGTGCGCAGCGTAGCTGACAAGTTTAAATGTTTTCGAAGTGAAAATTACCAATTTCCTTTTTTTTTTTTCTTTTTTTTCAGAATTAAGTGAAAAGGGATGTGATAAATGTCGATCGAGCTTTAATAATACCGTTTTGACTTCAAACGTAATTTTGGTCATTTTTTATTCTAAATTTTGCAAAACCCAAAAACTAGAATTTGTAGTATTCTGAGTTAGTTTTCTAATCCAACTTGAATCACCAAAATTGGATGCCGGACGAGAAAGATATACATGAATCAATGGATACTACCCACAACTTTGATGTATTGAGGTATCTAAAATTCAAAATGTGACTCATTCATGCATAATTTTGTCACACGGCATCCAATCTAGTGGATTTAAGTTGGATTAGAAAGCTAACCCAAAGAATTACAGTTTCTGTGTTGAATTTTGCCAAAAACAAAATAGACATATGTCAAAATCAGGTTCGAAGTTAAAACAATATTAATAAAATTGAAACGACGTTTAACATTTCAGAAGTGAAAATAGCTAAACATTTGTTATTTGCGAGATATTTTAGAAATACTTTGTGCACTTGTTGGAATTCTTTTATTAATAAATTTAGAAACTACAAACACAATTATATTTTTCTTTTCAGTTTTCAATAAAAAATTCCTAACATATTTGTATTAATTAATGATTAGTTGTAAACTTGTAATTCTTTTGACTGATCATTAATACCAATCATCATAATATATAATTAATACTCCAAATCCTTCCATCCAAATGGACCATAAAATTATTTTTCACATTCGATTTTACAAATGTTTGACATTTGGTAATTTGATCTTACAAAAGTTTACATTTGGTAATTTTTTATCTGTCATGATACAATTTGGATTATTTTCTTTCGATACTGCGAATAAATGTTATAATTGATGAACTAACTTGTGACTCGAAAAAAGTTTGAACTCGAACTCGAGTTTTTCGAGCTCGAGCTCAAGCTTTTTTGACGAGTCAGGCTCGAGCTTTTTTTAGTTGTTCGTTAATTCACGAGCCGACTCACGAGTCTTCCTCTCATTTAGTTATTTTTATATATTAATTTTTATTTAAATAATATATAAAAATATAAAAAGAACAATATTTTTTTAAAAAAAATATATAATTACAGTTCATGATTTATTTTATAATTTTTATAATAATCTATTTTTTTTTAAATAAAAATTTAATTAAAAATATCAAAATAAGCTCGAGTCTGCCAAAACAGCCGAGTTCGGCTCGCTCACACCCCTAGACTAGAAGAAAGAAGAATGTAAGAAATTGATGTTGACTGGGTCATAAAATGACCATTATGGGCCTACCTTAATTTATGAATTTTAATTTCCGATAAATGGGATGATTGTGAACTTTTATTGTGGTCATGATATGAATGTTGTTTCAGAGATTGGGTAATGGTCTGCTAGAAACTTTGGACCGTCAGAAAGCATTGAAATTGGAGCTTGAGCGTCGTTATGGGGAACTTGACATTTACTAGAGACAGAGGAATAAAGATCAGTGGATTAAAGACGGGGATAAAAATACAAAATACTTTCATTCTCGAGCTTCCAAGAGGAATAAGAAAATTGGTTTCACTGGATTCAAGATGAGAACGGAGTGTAGGAAGAGGATAGGAGGGATATAGAAAATGATTATGTCGCATTACTTTGCTCATCTGTTCGAATCGTCTAATCCGGATGAGAGTGTGATTGATGAAGTCTTGAATCACATCGAACCCCGGATCACAGATAAGTATGTTCATCAACTCTCCCTTTCTTTCTCAGCAGATGAGGTAACCCAAGTTATTTCCCAAATACACCCTACTAAATCACCCGGCCCCGAAGGGCTTCCGGTGTTATTTTACACCAAATTTGGCCCATCTTGGATTCGAATATTATTGATTGCGTGCTTAAGTTTTTGAATTCTAATCACTTGTCGAGGGAGTTTAATTCTACCCTTAGTGTCATGATCCCTAAAGTTAAATCCCCCGAGAAAATGTTTGGATATAGGCTAATTAGTCTGCGCAATTTTATTTACAAATTTGGCTCTAAAGTCATTGCAAGCCGCATTAAAACGGTGTTGAGCGATTTGATATCCCCATCCAGTCGGCTTTTGTTCCTAAACGGCTAATAACTGATAATGTTTTGGTGGCATATGAGACTAACCACTACATTAAGTCTAACTCAAAGAATCGATCTAAGTATATATATGGCCCTCAAATTAGATATTAGTAACGCCTAGACCGAATTGAATAGTCCTTCTTACGGAAAATTTTGACTCGTTTGAGTTTCCCTGCTACCTAATTTTGAATTGGTTATGTACTGCATTTCCTCTGTTACTTACTCATTTTTGTTTAATGGCTCTCAGCACGGGGAACTCCAACCGCCTCGAGGTCTTTTCCAAGGTGACCCTCTATCAACTTACTGATTCATATTATGTACTGAAGGATTAATTTCTTTGATCCATCATGCAGTAGAGGGTGGGGACCTCACAGGAATTAAGATTGCTCCCACGGAGCCAACGGTGGCGAGCTTGTGTTTTGCGGATGATACAACCATATTTTGTCAAGCCACTCCTTCTAATGTGCGGACGATCCAATGCCTCTTAGCCATCTATGCCACGGTCTCTGGGCAAGTCATCAACTAGGACAAGTCGACGATGTCCTTCTGCCCTTCCACTCTTGATTCGGAGAAGAAGGATATTCACGAGATTCTGGGTTTTCGTATTGTTGATTGACTCGAAAAGTATTTGGGGATGCCAATGTCGATGGGGCGGTCTGGTAAGGAGGTCTTCCAATATCTGAGAGATAGGGTCCGTTTGTTGTTAGCAATCTAAATGTTTGTTGTTACCAATTTTTCGTTTGCAGGTTGGTTTAACTTAGTTTGTTGTTTGAAAAATTGCGTTTGGAGTTGAGATTTGTTTGTTGTTTGAAGAATTGCGTTTGTTGTTTAGAATAGCGTTTGCAGGTTGATTTTTTGTTTGATTTGCTGTTTGCATTTGACAAAGTCATAGGTAGTTTATTGCTTGCAATTCAATAATGCAAGTTCTGCTGATTTTTTTTCTTCAGTTTGTTGTTCGTATTTGACGAATTCATAGATAGTTTTTTTGTTTGCAATTCAATAATACAAAGTATGGGAAAAACATTCAGTTTGTTGTTTGCTTTCGGTGATATAATATTTAGTTTTTTGTTTACAATTCAATAATACGAAGTTTGGATTTTTTTTCAGTTTGTTGTTTGCATTTGTCGAAATCATATGTATTATGTTGTTTGGAATTCAATAATACAACTTCTAATTTTGAGTTTGCTATTTGCAGTTAACGGAATCATAGGCGTCAGTTTGCTATTTGCAGTTCGTGGCGCCACGGCGGTGACATTTTTAGAATATGAGTTTGTATAATAAATAGTATATTTTTTTTTACGAATTAATTTAATTTTTTAGTGGTGATATTTCCACCTCCAAAGTATCTCAATTCACCACCAAAGTATATAAAATGACATAAATACCCCTCAAATTTATAATTCACCATCCTTCTTATATTCGCTTACTTCTCATGTATTTTAAGTTATTTCTATTTTTTTTTTGCAACGAAAAATTTATTACAAAATATTTAAACTTCCATATCAGGTAACGTATATAAATTTCTTTTAGGAAATGAAATTATATTAAGTCAAATTGGCAAATTCTGGAGAAAGTTCAGAACCTTCCACACAAGCACTCTTAATTTATTTATCCAAGAACGTGAATTCCTGCTCTTTTCGAAAAAAAATTCTCTGACGAAAGTCTTATTCACTTAAGGTGGAGAGAGTGAGATTTTGTGGTAAAGATTTTAGTGAAAATGGTGGAGGTTTTTTTATAAATATTTTAATTAGTTTAGTGGTGGACGGTTTATAAATTTGTAAAAATATATAGGTGAAAGAAGAAGAAATGGGCAAAATGGGAAATATATTTAATTTGGTAGTGAAATAAGATATTTTGAGGGTAGAAATAACGCGTCTCTAATTTTTAAGTTAATATTTGAAAAAGAGATTTTGCTAGAGAGGTTTTCGTGGAATTTAATTTGACCTGACTGAGTATATTTTTCATAATAAATATTATTAATTTATTACAACATGGAGATTTTGACTTAAATCTATAGACATAAATCATAGGGTAAATTACACCCACGCTTCTAGAGTGTGCTGAAATAACTTTAAGGTCTCTGTGGTGTCGATAATTACACTTACACCTGAAACATAGTTAGAAACTCTAATGAGAAAATGCATTAAATACATTATTCCAATAGAGTTCTAACGAACTATTAGTTTCAGGAAGTGGTAGAGACAACTCAGAGTTATGGGTGATTTAAAAAATATAGGGGGAGCTATATCACCCCTTAGCTCTATAATGTCTTCACCAGTTACTAAAAGTAATAGTTCGTTAGAACTCTATCGGAATTACGTATCTAATGCATTATCCCCTTAGAGTTTCTAACTATGTTTCAGGGGTGGGTGTAATTACCGATACCACATGAACCTTAAAGTTATTTTAACATATCTCAAAGATGCATATGTAATTTACCTTAAATCATAATATACAAGAACCTTTAGCAAATTGTCCCAATTAATTAATCACATATATATTTCTTATGAGTTGTCTTTAGGGAATTAGGTCAACTGATAAAGGACTAGGGTGATGCAATGTCAACCGTCCTCTAACGACGTGCAGTGTGGAAATTCAGACATCCTGCGATTTACATAATCTACAATTCCCATCACAAGGCCGGTGTATGTGGGCCCCAAGGTGGGGTTCCAATTCAATTTTTCTTTTCGATTTTAATAATTTAAATTTACAATATTTTGGTATAATTTAAAGTGTAATTTTTTGAATTTCGGAGTTCATAAAGGAAGTGACTGATGGAGACTAAAAAGAGAAAATGACAAATTTTATTAGATTTGAGTAGTTTGAATTAATTTATGATTTTTAATTTTATTAAATTGAATGTTATTCTAGTCTTTCAATTCCAGGTTATAATTGATATTTGATTTTCGTGAAGAGCAATTTGGATGTTGCAAATGACATCCATATAGTTTTGATTACGACTATCAATTAAAAGGAATTTACTCAAAACCTATTTTATTTGAGTCGAGTCAAATGTGAATAATTCTACTAAACCCAAAAATTTTAGGAGTCGAATTTGAATACACTTTGGCTCAATCCAATTAAGCCCGACTAGATAAACAAATAAAATATTTCTTAAATTTATTATTTCACAAATTCATTTATATTTATGTTTATGTAAATACCAATATTGACAAAATAATTTTGCTAGTGAATAAGAATTTGAACTTGCATATATCTATTAACGTCACACTCAGACGTATATTAAAACTTAAAAGTATTTTTTAAAGTTTTCTAGCGCCGTAAATATACATGTTATTTTTCATTCATTTGATTTATTTCAACTATTTCTCCGATTTGCTAAGACATTCAAAATTTCTTTTAAGTATTTATATATCATTTTATTTTTATAAAAAATTAATTTTAATTAGGGCTGTACACGGATCGGTTTTAACTACCAACCAACCCATTTTCGACCCATAATTTGTGATGGATAATCAACCATCAACCGACCCATTTAAGTTGGGTCGATAATATCAACCAACCCATGTATAGTTGGGTCGATAATGATTTCTAATGTGGTAAAAAGTTGGTTAGTCGGGTAATATCGGCCAACCAACTTTATTTATTAATTATTATTTATTAATTTTAATTAAAATATTTAATATTTTTTATTTCAAATTTCTATTTTATATCACATTTATTAAAGGGTAATGATATACGCAGGCCAAATTAAACATTCAGGCACTTTTTTACCATGATTTTTTACCTTTTTACCATAACTATTTACCTTTTGTACTATTCCTACCCAATAAAAAAAATAATAAAAATAAAATAAAATAAATTTTTGTGCTCGTGCAAAAACATGCGAG